CCGGTGCAGTCAAAATATCTTTTCTGGAAGTGTCATGGTCAAATTGTAGAGATGCTTTTGATTATTTGCTGTTACAAACCATTATTTATCTGTGATGTAGGCATGCAGAGTGGCTCCTTGAAACTGTTTGCTAATGTAGATCAGAAACCCATGCTGCTGAAGCGCCAGGCATTTGCCATGTTCAGTGGAGAAATCGACCAGTATCATCTCTACCTGCCCCTCATCCAAGGTGTGGTACTGCTACCGCTACTGAATGATTATTTAAGTTTTTATCTAGCTAAAAAAGAGACATTAAGATTGATTGTGTTCTTTAACGATTATAAAACCCTCTTCCTTTCAGAGCGTCTCACGGAGGCTTTGCGTATGAACCCTAGCCCTGCTGTTTTAGCCCAGATGTTCCTGATGTTTCGTGTTCTCCTGTTGCGGATTTCATCCCAGCATCTGACATCTCTTTGGCCAATCATGGTGACAGAACTGGTAAGAACGTGGGTTTATACACAGGGCCAATACTGTACCAGCGTCTATTTTGATTATTATAATGGATTTTTTTTTTTTTCTTCAGATTCGCATATTTGCACGTCTAGAGAAAGCTCTGCAGGCAGATAAAGACGTCTCAAAGTGAGTTCATTCTTTTACTCACAGATTCCTGTTTTGTTGACATCCTGTTGATGCTCTCACTCAAAATACTTTTTTACATTCTTGTGTACCACCTAGGCTGGCTAAAGTGGTGCGTGGAGCCCTTGAAAGAAATGGACCAGTGAATTTCTCTCAAGCAGAGTTGGACATGTACCTGTCAGCCTGCAAGTTTCTAGACACCTCCCTGGCTTTTCCTCCTGAAAGGATACCACTCTTTCAGATGTAAGAGCCCAATTTAGAACCAAAGAATTTAAAAATATGATATCGTCTTTTTTTGTCTTAGTTCTGATGTTGCATAAGTTATTTTGTCTGGGTGTTATTGTCTGTCTTACTTTTGCTGTGTCACTGTCCATGTGCAGGTATCGCTGGGCATTCGTCCCTGAGGTGGATGTGACCCGCTACAATGGCCCGGAGACTGCGCTGATAGAGGGCGAGCAGGAATGCATACCCCATGTTGTCAGAGTACTGGAGGGGATACAGCACCGATATGGGGTAAGATCGTATGTGGGTTGGAATAAAATTGGAGTAAAATTCAGGCTTGCAGTCATTTCCACTTAAAAGTGTACACTCTTCAATGGTCATTTTGATGAGATGCTTAGAATTACTATTAGCTATACTAAGCTAATTGAAAATACTTGTTTTAACCTACTTTAAGTCAACTGTTTTTTGTTTTTTGTTTTGGACACCTCCCATTTCCACCCAGCATTAAAATACTATCTGGATACATTATCTGGATAGGAAAGAACGCATGGTAATGAGAGATGTAAATGTGTGCAAATCAGCCAGGCCAAATTTTGGAGGTGGTCAGGCTCGCATTGCGATCGGATCTTAGCCAGGTGTAAGTTCTGTGTGTACAGCATGACCACATGCTTAAGGAAAAGAAATCTGATGTGCCCAAAAAGCTGAAAGGTCACCGAACTCTGCATCCACCTGCTAACTCAACCAAGGCCTGCAAAGGGTGCAGGTAGTAGGAGTTACCACGTTACCTAGAGAGTCTTGTCTTCTTGCCAAGTATTGAGATCAAGAGACACTCAAGATAACAAGAACACACTGATTAGATGTCATACGCATCGCATGTTTATACCAGGTGTAAATGGGACCCTTGTCATGCATTGTCACTTTGTGTTTGGTGATGATGTAATAGATATCCATGTTATTTGGTGCATTAGACTCCAAGAGCTAATGTGTTTCTATGGAAGTGTAGTCTGATAAAAAAAAAAATAAACCAAGTTTTGTTTTGTGAAATGACCACACCTCACTCTGATTATGATGTCCTGACCTGTTATTGCAGACACTGAATGGGCTGAGTGAGGAATCTTCCACAGAGCATTTGGAGTTTCCCCTCCTCACCCAACGCTCCCTGCGCTCCATCACCCAGCTGTTGCCTTTCCTTCGCACCCTTTGCTGTTCCTTCCAGGGCCCTCCCCCTTACAGCGACCCTATGCCCCACTGCCCAGTAGCAGACTACCCAGCAGCCAGTTCAGACGCAGTCCTGAGGAAGCTGGAGTACATCACTGAAGAAGAGTTCCTCGACTCCATGGAAAGTTAAAAACTCAAGCATGAAGCTTTCATGAACTAAGTTCCTCTTCTTAAGCTTTCTGCCCTGCAGCCATACAAGTGGAATACCTAAAATAGGCACAACCAGTGATAATGTTGTATTGTGAATTAGAAAAAAGGAAGTGTTTTTTTAATGTTTTAACTGATTTCTTCATAAATACTTGTACCTCTGAGGTGCTCTCACACTGAATCTGTACTGGAAAATCCAAGGGTCTTTCTTGTAGTTAATTCAATGGGCTTTTTGGATATCTGGAAAAAAATATGGTATTAATTCTTTCTCTCCGTGATGTGTATCATCTCAACTGAAAAGTGTCATAGCATCTACTCTCTTTGCTTTACATGATTTTAGACTAAAAAACGTCACCACAAAATAATTATGTAAACCTCAAATTATTACCTACTGTGACTATAAGACATGCACCTTATAATAGAGATAGTTTCAGTTACAATTTTGTTTGACGTCAAATAGCAGATTCACTGTGAAGAACCTTCTTAAGTACTGTTTTTGTTCTTTTGACATAACTGATTAACCACAGTCTCTCGTATAAACATACGTACTGTATGTCGGTCTGACTCTGAGAATGTAAAGATTTGATGTCTGCAGGACCCAGCTGAGTACCTTCTCTTTGATTGTTATTGGAGTCATTATGGGACCTCACATATTTACATTAAGAGTTTTATGAGTAAATTACTGAATGTGATTTGTGTACACCAGGAAAACCCTTTGTAATATTATTGGGTGTACCTCAGTAATATACATGTTGGTGTTTAAGGGAAATCAGCCTTTCTTTGTGGTTAATTATTGATAGTTTTTACAACTGCCTGTTGTCTTCTTTTTCCACAGTGTTGAATGTTTAAGTAATTTATTTTGGATGTTTAAAGGACGATGTCAAGTTTTGAATTAACAGAAAAAAGCTCCATTAAATTAAATATTAAGCTTAAGTACTGTGCTTCCTCTTTGCAGCTTCAGTTGCTTGTTTTCATGCATTTGCATGAGAGGGAGGTTGCTCAGGGACTCAAACCTATAATAGGAATCACGGAGTTGGCAGTTCAGTCACCGGCTCCTCCTGCACACATGTTCAGATGTCCTGTGGCATGACAGTGAACACTGAACCCTCTTCTCCTGCTGCCATTGGTGTGTGTTTCTGTATGAGAGAGAGAGAGATGAGAGATGAGAGGCAAATTGTAAAGCACCTGTGATAAAAACACTATAGTTACAATTTCACCACATGCCTATAGGTAAAGCATTGTGTTTCCAGCACATCATCCACACAATATTCAATGTCACATCGTAATTACTACAACATGTTTTGGCCATCCTTCAATGAAGACCACAGGACAGAACTTGTCTGTTCCACATTAAAGTTGTTCTCTATATTATGAATGTAGCGAGAAATTCTCTCAGTAGAAGCCGGAGGACATGACTGCACAGAAAGAAGTCTGGATTACCATACTTAACCAGCTGCCATGATCCAGACCCATGAAAGCCATGAACAATGGACAAATAAATGTACAAAAAGGGAGAAAAAATTATTTGCATATAGAGTGATCGGGAAATGAACGTACAAACACACAAAATGGATAAGAACCAGTAATGCATTCTAAACAGAGCAGCAAAACCCTTTTCGGCTGAAACTGCACTGTGCAGACCATTTGTCTTTTTCACAAAGCTACAGACAGAAACCGCTGAGACTAAAGTCACAACACAGCCCTTTTTATCCCATGATCTCTGTCGTCTTTTATTTACACTATACACAGCCTTCCAATGCCAGCGCCACTCCTGTCTATCGTTTGGTTATTGAAATGAACTGCCCTAAATGCTTGTAGCTGTGCACGAACAAAACATTATTACCGGTTTCATTATATGATATCTATTGGGTATATACTCTATATGTGCTTCCAAGCCCATGAAATCCGAATATATATAATATACTGTATGTGACGATGTTTGTGGTTATAGCTACCATTTATTTTATTATCATCTGGAGCGTCACATCTGGTGTGATTGGGAAAATACATTATGAAACCCATCATAAAAAATTACAAACTTTACAGATATTTGAGAACACATGGGTTTGTGTCTGTGTTAACCTGTGCGCTGTCATTAGTGGTGGGATAATAGGACACGTTCAATATATGTGTAAATAGTTATCACCATAGAAAACACTGTAAAGAAAGAATATAATTTATTGTAGCCTTTTGCAACTTTTTAAAATTAGTTTAAGTATCGTAATTTGTAAATGTTACGGTCCATGCATGAACTTCAAGTAACCTTAAACAAATATTAATACGTTGATGAATAGCTACATACACGAATCGCAAGAATCTATTGTAATTCCAGTGTTCATTGGAAATTTATTGGAAAAAATCTATGACAGTTATGAATTACGTTCATTATTTTAGACTGTTTGTTTACTTTGAAGACGAGCTGTCTCTGTTTCCGGCTCTCGACTTCCTTGTTCAATTTGCATCGTACAAGTTGGATAATGGAACCAATTGACGCTTTGGTGTGCTGAATTGAAATGCACGTCTTCAATCAATGGGACAATAACACACGCAAAGCGTTAAGAGTTTAGGCAGCATTGGCTAATGAAGAACGAGCTCACAAACGTCAACATACATTTGCACTAACACAAGTGGGACAATGAAATTAGTCAATACCCCCCTAAGATGGCGTTTTTCATTACACAACATGAACGACTACAGAAGAATTGTTTGATATTTTTTCAGTAATCAGTGCTGTCTTGCGCGTTTGGTTTGCCCTCACGTCCTCCTACTGGTATCCGTACTAATGAAAATATGGCGACGGCACAAACAGACCGCGGTGTTCCTCTTAGTACGGTGAGCAGCTATTACTCCTCTGATATTAGCACGTTTGACTGTCTTACTGTGGCGTCGGCTGGTGTGAACAGTTGCAAATATTCTATGCAAATATTCTCCTACATATTCCACTAATGTGGGCGATAGGGTTACATACACTGTTTGATATGTTGACTGCATGTACAGACTCCACGGTGCTCCGTGGTCGCAGTTTCTGTGTTTACTAATGAGTGAGAGTTGGCGATTGACGAACTAACGATAGATAACATAAAATCTATCACTATTGGTGGCAGCTCTGTCTGCCTGAAAATCACTCTTAGTCACGGAGTAAAGCCGATATGAAAGGCTGAAGTTGACTTCCGGTTAGCTAGTTAGTTGTGTCTCTCGTAAACGTACTCAACTGAAAAATAATCAAACGGGTAATCAGTCTTTTGATGGGTTGAGCCCGCTACTTTGTCCCAATATATTTATGATATATACACGTAAGCTTCATATTACTGTGCTATGCTGTTTGATCGCCGATCTAAAAACATCAGTCAGTGTGTCTTTGTACCACCTGTAATATTGTTGGGATAAAGCAAAACGATTTCCCAATGAGTTGAATTGTGTGTTTCCTTTTAGTTCGATTGTTTATTAGACTGCGGTACAGAAAGTCTAACTACATCACAAAAGTTTCAGTACCACACATCTCTCTCTCTCCTCCTCTCTCTTCCTTAACATTCTATATTACCTCAATTAAATGAATCTCCCTAATGCAATAAATAATGTAATAAAGCCACTTCAAATAAGGTTAAAGACACATTGATTGGTTGATTTGAGTAGACTGATGTATGTAAATAATTTGCTTCTCTTGCAGCTCTGTCCCAAGTTTCTTCATACCAACTCCACCAGCCACACCGGGCCCTTTAGCGCCATAGCTGAGCTCATAGGTGAGTCATCATCCTAAGGTTTCATGTTCATGTGAAACGGGGTGTTTTACTTTTGTTTTTCTTTTACCACGTGCTCTTGATGTCCCCAGTTGACCTGCTTGACTGAAACTCATGGATAACAAAATGATGATCCTATGCTTATGTGCTATACATTTTTGTGATCTAAACAAGCTATGTTTAAATGCATTCAAATGCAAATGGAACTCACCAGGACAGATTTATGTCAAATTGAAAAGAATGTGAAATGTAAAATATTAGGTATCTGTTGTATCTGTTAATGTTTTATCTGGTGCACTCACTCTTTGTCTGATGTCATTCAGATTTCTGTCAAATAAAACATGAATTCACATTTCTTTTCCACACAATTGTGTCTTGTTTAAATTTTTACTGCAGGGAGAATATTTCTACGCATAAACTAGCCATTGCAAATTATTGTGTGACCTTAGTAAACCCAGTCGAACACATAATCAACCTGTTGATGTGACTTTAATATGCCCCCAGAAAATGTTTTATTTTTTCTTAAAGACAATGCCTACGATCCAGATGTCAGTGCCAAACAGTTCTGGATTGATAAGACTGTGGTCAAAGAAGAACAGTGTCTCAGCTTTATGGATAATGGAAATGGACTGGACCATGAAGCTATGCACAAGATGCTCAGGTACAGACACTGCTACTTGGTATTTCTGGAAAATAATTTGAAAATAGTTTTGAGAGTTCATGCACTTTTGCAACATTTTTGGAATTGGAAAAGTAATGATATCTTTGAAAACTCGCCATCATTTTTAATGTTTGACATTTGTTATTAATTTGTTATTCACTGTAGAGTATCATGGCTACTTCATAGTCACATTATCACTTCCATTATTGTTGTGATAATGACCACTGTCTAAAGTTTTTAAATAAAAATTATTAATAGGATTTGGAAAAACTCAAATTTTTGATGATGAATGTGATTTAACTATGATGCAGCTCGTATTCTTATTAAAGAATATTTGCATTTCTCTCCCTTAAGTTTTGGGTACAGTGATAAGACTGCTGTCAATGGTCAAGCACCTATAGGAATCTATGGCAACGGCTTCAAGTCTGGATCCATGCGTCTTGGGAAAGATGCCATCGTCTTTTCTAAGTCAAACAGCACTTCATGTGTGGGGATGCTCTCTCAGACCTACCTGGAAAAAATCAACGCTAAGCAAATAATTGTACCAATTGTCTGCTTTGAACCTACAAAAACAGGAAAGTATATCCTTTATGTGATGGATTAATTCACATATCATGCTCATGGATGAAATGTTATATCTTACTATCTTCTTGATTTATTGGCATTATTAAAATACTGTGCACTTAACTGAATTGTTTACGAGAGGACTGTACAAAACCCTGATCTGACACATTTTTAATTTTTGTCTGTTAATGTGAAAACAGCCTAGTTATAGTTATGCCTCTAGAGAAGCACATTATATCTCAGTCATATTTGTGTTTGTCCTAAGTTTCCATTTGAAGTTGTCCTTAACTTAAGCTTTTACTGTCTGTAAAAGAGGAGCACAAAACCTGTCTGCAGGACATCCTCCTACATTCCCCTTTCAAATCACAGGCGGAGCTTCTCACTGAGCTCGATGCCATTACCCCGCCCTGGTCCACAGGAAAGACTGGCACGCGGATCATAATCTGGAATCTCCGCAGGTCTGTCAATAGTCCACACACACACACACACACACACACATACATACACATGCAGATTTTTAGATGTATGTTTTATTTCAGAAGCTAAGGTGTAGTTAGCTTTAGAAGATAATTTACACTGTGTTGTGCTATGGCTCTAGTCAAAACCTCTGATTTGTACAGTGATGTACATTTATAGAGGCCCATTATGTTATGTTCTTAACAGGACATCTACCGATACACTAGAGTTTGATTTTGCGAAGGACCATTATGATATCCGAATTCCATCCGATATCTACGAAGCAATGAGTGACACTACTCAACAGGTCACGTCATACATCCCTCAGAGTGTTTACTCACTGCGGGTAAGGAACAATATTGTCCTCAAAAGAATCATTATGACTGCTATGCCTTCGTAAGGCATCAGATTACCACACACATTCACTTGCTAACATATTATACACAAAAACACACAAAATTCATTTTTCTTTTCTTTTTGTGGTTTAATCAGTGAAAATGAGCTCGTTGTTGTGAATGATGTAAATGCATCTGATTGTATATAATCTCTTGATTGTGTGTGTCCAAGTGAAAAAAATATCATAAAAATGAATCTCTTGACCCTCGGCTTTACCACTTTTCCTTTGTTTTTGTAAATAAACGAATAATTGTGTTTTTGATGGGTGTAGGCATATTGCAGTGTTCTGTACCTGAAGCCGCGGATGCAGATCATCATACGTGGTCAAAAAGTGAAATCGCAGCTCATCGCTAAGAGTCTGGCCTCCGTCAGAAAGGACCACTACAAGCCCATTTTCCTGGTATCCTTTCATCACAGGTTCTTTAGAGCTGTGCCTCCTTAGGTTTCTGATTGTGTTGAGCATATATAAATGTGTTGGGACAAATGGGTGTGCTCCCAAAGTGTTTACATGTATCTCGGCTCTTGGATTTTCCTTAAAGATTATTTTAGACCAAACGCGTTCCTATCATTTTCGGGTATAACACAAAAAGCAAAGATCACTATGGCATTATGATGTATCACAAGAATCGGCTCATCAAAGCCTACGAACGTGTGGGCTGCCAGCTTAAGGTGAGTTTCTGCTGTGACCGTCAGTGTGTCTGTCGATTACACATTTTCAAGGGGCTCTAAATGTTATCATCTGGTGTTTGTCTCTTATGAATCTTTGCCTTCTACAGGCCAACTTCCAAGGGGTTGGGGTCATTGGGATAATAGAATGTGACTTTTTGGATCCTACCCACAACAAACAGAGCTTTAATGAGACAGATAAGTACAGGTAATAACATCAATTCTGCATTCAGTTTCTTATATAATCTTGATCATATTCTTGGGGTTTATTTATTTGTTTATTAGAGGTGTAAAGTGCCTAATTTTTGCTACAGGAAAACCATGAACAGTTTGGGGATCAAACTGGAGGAGTACTGGAAAGAAATCCGCTACAGGTGGAGCAAAGACAATCCAAACAGCACCACACCAGTGGAAGATGCCATGTTAGTACCTTTGAACTGACCCACAATCTGTATTCTACATGCATATTTGTCTATCCATGCTAGCTCCCCACATGCTCTGATACATGTCTCTGTCTATGTCCTCAGGAAGCGACCAGATCAAAACTGGGTGCAATGTGATGACTGTTTGCGCTGGCGTAAACTCCCCGATGGGATCGACTGCAGAAAGCTGCCAAATAAATGGTTCTGTCGGATGAACCCTGATCCTCAGTTCAGGTAACCAGAACTTTATAAGGGAAACCTCTGGCAGTAATCATAATCTGTATGAAATAAACAAATGTAACTGGAAAAGGATGTTCATATTCATTTCAAGATTTAAGGATCAGCTTGACTCTGGAGTATTATTTCTAGAAATATGCTTTGTAGGTCTAGACTGTTTCGGCTCTGAAACTGTGTTTTCTAAGAATATGAAAAAACTATAAATGTTTTGGAGGTTTTAACTATATGAAAACAAAACTTTTAATTC